ATATAGTTATACGTATATATAATACATGTGATAATCAACGTATATTTTATTGTTATAATAAGCAGTAGAATTATTATGAAAGAAACATTATAAAGTAAAATTTTAAAAGAAAAAATTTTTGTTAGGGTACAAAAGTCAATTTGTTATATAAATTTTTGGGATATGAACAGTTTTTAAAAACGGATTTTTGTTTGAATCATTGGTCGATTATCATATGTGCATATTATATTTTTATGTATATACATATCATACTTATTATTTTATCAAGTAAAATCCAAATAAGCAATAAAATTGTAGTCACATATGATAGCATAATTCGCCATTTTTATCTTTGTTTTTCATGAAGTACGTAGTGAATACGTAGTTGGAGTTAAAGTAATCTATGTTTTACGTTGGAATGAAATTATTGTAGATTTAGATTGATTCCGAATAAATATAGATTGTAATACATAGAATTCTAAAATGTGCCTAATAATTCCACAACAAAATTATGTGTATTCCAAATTATTTTATCGATTAGTTAAATTTAATAGCATGATATAAAACTTTTGCATATGGACATCAAGTATTTAAAGCAACTATATTACTAGAATTGGTTTGTAGTCAATATATAATTAAAGAATAACCACGTGTACTTCACGTGATTATTATAGCTGGAAAATATAGTTCTGAGAATTGGCATCAGAATTATATTAGCGACTTAGGATTTTGCATTTCTTTTAACTCGCTATAGGCTAAAGAAACTCAAATCTGTAATTGAGAAAATATATTAGAGTTGCTCAACACTAAAATGTACCTCTTAGACGACTCAAATTACATCGCCAACTTAATTTTATTAACCAATCTTTTGATAATCCTTTTAAACTTTATGCTACCACAACAATATAATCCCGCAGAATATAGCATAACAATTAATAAGTTACAGAATAAAAACAATGATATAGGTGATACTTATCCTGTGGACGATGATCTTCTGAATTTTCTGATGAAGACATAATTATCAATGGATAAATGAAACACTACTATAATCAGTAAACTAATGGAAGAGCAAGACTTAAACCAAGAAATCAATAAGGTAATAGATAGCTATAACCTACCTATAAGTATTGATTATAACCACATTGTCGCACAAATTGATAACCTTATAGAAGCGTTATTAAGACTGAATCTAGATAATAAAGAGAAAAGCAGCAATAGCAAAGTCATTGTTGAAAGGAAAGACAATAATGGTGAAACCGACAAGATGGATACTTATCGTATCATCAATAGTCTCCTTGAAAATCAACTGATACGAAATTATTTGAAGAATTGAATTATGAACCTACAGATAAAATGCTTATAGTTAATAAAACAGCACTAGAACAAGACAGAAAACTTGTAAAAGAAATCATTGCCATTCAACTTATCATATAATTTTGTGGACATGAATGTCTGTGAAGTCATGTGATAGAGTTAAATAGCATACTGAATGGCATGTCGAATGGCACTATTCAAATACTATTCACATGACTTCACAGATATTCATGTCCGCAAAATTATATGATAAGTTGAATGGCATACTGAATGGCATTCGAATAGTGCTATTCGACATGTCAAATTTTTTATTTTGGGCAGTGCCCAAGAACGTTTTAAGTTGGTCATCGCCATCAAAATCAACAACTGGGATTAGAATTAAAAGGTTTAAATAAAATAAACACGATAATTAATGAAACAGAAAAATAACTATAGAAGGTGTGAAGAATCACCTACTGAAGTTATTTTTTTATTTCTCTATTTTTATCCTATTATTATTTTATTACCATTAGTATAACGAAGTTAGAATAGAATAGTAAGCAAAAACGACCATCTTTACTAAGAATAGAACTTATATACAAGGTTCGTTCAAATTTGAACGAATTAGTATAAGCTCTCTTTAGCTCGTTCAATTTTGTACAAAGGCAATCATTCGAATTTGTACGAAGCAGAATAATCAAATTCGTTCAATTTCAAACAAATTCTATTCACACAAATTCGCATAGTGTAGTTTGCCTTAAAATAAAAAATGTGTAGTTAGTATAATTCTTATGTAAAAAGAATATAGTAAAAAGAAGTTTCAATAACAAACACAGCCCTCATGTAATTAGTAGTGGTCTAAAAGTAGACAAGACCAATCTTTTCGCTTCAATAAAAACTAACTCAGTTGAGTTCTTAACTTCGAAAACGTTAGTAGAAGTTGGTTCTCCAGTAGTTATTTCCTTGGATCATTAAGTTATATATAATAAATTGTTTTTCATAAAATATTCATGTCTTTGTGATACCTCTAAAAGTCATTATTCTTGAATAGAGAGAGAGAGAGAACCATTAAATTAGTAATCAGATCCCTTATAAATACGAAAATAAATTAAACTCTGATCAAATTTCGTCATTATTGACTTTGAGTCTCGTAACACATGATCTGGGATAGAGAAATTTCGAAAAACAAGAAGAAAATAGAACTGTTAGTATCAGCTTATATGCTATATATCAAGTAAACTCTCAAAAGAAATAAAAGAAGACTCAACTTGACCTGGGTATTGTTTCTACTAGGCCCAAGCACCCGGAAACTCAGACCAAATCTTACCACGCCTCGATCACAGCCTTTCAATTTTGGAGTTTTGGTTTTGTCATTACCTTTATTAGTTTATAGATTATAGTATTTAGTTATGTTTTTTTTGTTAGTTAGTTATAGATTATTAGTTTTTACTTTTAAAATGTTTGTTTCCAAGAATCAACCTGTGTAGAGTTTTCTGATGAAAAGATAGAACACAGAGAAGACCAGGATATAATTAGTAAGACACCAAAAGAACAAGATACTAATACCAAAGAGCAAGTTAAAGAAACAAATACTTATCTAACATCAACAAAGTATTCTCAAAAGTTACTCAACCAGCCTACTATAAAAGACCATGATGGAATGTCTTCGATGCTTGATCAAAAGATGTTCGTAGATCTTGATAACCCCTTAAAGGAGAATAAAGATATTAATATAATATTAAAATTAAATAAGAACCAAATAATTAAGAATTGTCTCAATCCAAAGAGTTTGATATTCATATTTCTAAAGACCATAATATTAGTAACTCTCAAGAGTGTCCTTGGCTGTATCCAGCCACTTAGAACCCAAGAATTGATAAATCCTTATACTGGGCTTCAATTTCCTGATGTTTTCAATAGAACGCCAGATCTAGACATAACCAGTAAAGAATCAAAACAAAGATCTCAAATACATAATAAAGTCTTTGTCTGCAATTCAAGTGATGAGCAAGACATAAGTAAGAAACAAATCAAGTGTAAGCCCGAGAGTAAGAGATTCCATGACCATAGTAAAGATCTAAAAGATCTTGAAAGGTCTAAATCTCAGAAAAATCACAAGAGAAGGCTCAATGCATTGAGAAAGTCTAGTAACAACTATAAAAGCTAAAAGATCTCAAAGCCGGCACAACTGAAGCTGAAGCTTCGACAGCTCGTTAAATAGAAAAAACTTTTTATAGATTTTTTTTAGAAGGCATAGCGAAGATTATGAGAAATATTAAGAGTATGCTCAAGCACTCGGTACAAGCTATGCGTAATGAGCTCTTGAAATAGAGAATTCCAAAACCTTCGTTACGTGAATCGTATTAATCAAATAACAAATCAAATCAAATCAAATACAAATTAGCTTTATATTTGATTTGATTTGATTTGATTAAATTCAAATTAATTTAATATTTGATTCGAATAAATCAAATCAATCTAATATTTGATTTAATTTGAGTTTGCAGAACCCTAAAAGATACTTTTGACTAATATATCAAATATATAAAGAAGTCTTCAGATTTGCAAAAGTTGACTTTTATAAAAACTATTCCATTGTCCACCTACTACAGGTTCTGTTACTTCTCTAGTATCCAAAAAAGACTTTTCTTTTATAGAAAATTTTGGTTTAAGTAATTATTGAAAAGAGTTATTTTTTTTAATATAAAAATTTTATATAGTTAGCCAATTATTTTTTAGTAATATCTTAGTATTTACTAGACTAATTTGGATGATCTAATTACTATTAACAGTGTCTCAGTGAGCTCTACACCTATTTTTTTTTTTTTTTTTTTTTAACAATTTGGCAGTCATGCCTTTACTTTATTAGGCTTTGTAATAATCATCTAGACTATTAAAATTTTAGAGAGACTTATTGGTAGTGATAAACTCTGAACATGTTGGCAGATAGCATATGAGAACTATCTCTAAACAACATGCGCTATGCTCGAAAGCCACACAACTATATCTAAATTACAAGTAAAGACTAACCCAGTTGCTTAATGAGTACTTATATTTGACCTGCTATAGTAGAATTCACCTCCTTCCGGACCTTTCCTGCAATTAGATATAACCTGACTCTCAACAAATGGTACCTACTACTCGTCATAACCACCTCTTCCTTCTTTCAAACTTCTTTCATCTAAGCTCGACAACAAAATTAAAACTTTTATTTATATATAAAAATGAAAAAAATAAAGCCATGTTTATGAAAGACATAAACATTTTAGAAAAAAACACCTCATAGTGGGAAAAAAAAACTTTTCAACAAATTTTAAAATAGTCTAACATAAATAAACCAAGATGAAAAAAGCGAAAAAAAAAGAAAGATAGCCATAATACACTATTACAGCCATGCCAGGTATAAGGATAAAAATTATATAATAATTGCAACTAATTAATATATCTTGATTGTAAGATGTCACCTTATCGTAGAGGACTCGTTCCAAGTATTGATGAAACTCAGGTATCTTCTAAATGGGGGCACCAATATTTTCCTCATACTGTAGTACCATATTGATAAACAAAACAAACACGTGGTTGCATTCTACTAAGTACATCTGAATTAGAAAGGTGTAAACAATGCTAATCTTTTGAAGAGAGTGAGCCCAAATACCCACATTTTTTGAAAATTTTTGAAGAAAATAGCAAAAATGAAAGGGAGGCAGAAAGACCAAGAGAAAACACCAAAAAAAAGTTTATTCAAGCCTATATAGTACTAAGTCTTTTCAGTGAGTAATAAACTCTGAGCTTGTTGGCAGGTAGTGTATGAGAACTACTTCTAAACGACAAGTGCCATGCCTATAAAAGGTTCCTTTTCCTATGTCTTACGTTAAGGCTCCTTTTGAACCAAGCCATGATGTACATTATTCAGAAAAGTGTCTCTAAATTTCCAAGGAGTGTTGTTATAAAAACTCATTTGTTGTTCTCCTTCTATTCTATTCTTTTGCGTTATGGATTACTTCGTTAACAAAAAGGCTTCAACTTCTTATAAGCATCTTCTTTTCAGAATTTTAGAACCAAGTGTGCCAACTTCTGCTAGTTATTTTGTTTCCTAACATTTCTGGTTTGCATACCAAATGTGTAAAGGAGTCCCCCATAGAAGCAAGTTAACCTTTATATAAACTATTCCATAAGCGTTCTTCTTCTCTCCAACAAAATTTTTGTTTTTGTTCGGTGGGAAATTTTGGTCCAGATGATTATTGGAAAGAGTTGTATGATTTGTGAGCTCTACAACTATTAATTAATTAACTTTATTGTTAACTTAATAAAAAATAAATTTCATTAGACTCTATTATATAATAAAATTTTATATTATACTTATCTCCAAAATTTACTATTATCACAATATAGTAATTATGCTAATCTTATCTGAATCATCAATTAAATATTTTTTTTAAAAAAAATTCTTGCAATACAAACAGAATCATAATATATTTACAAATATTTTTTTGATATTTATAGATTTTATTATATATTATAGTACTAAGCAAAAATATTTTTTTCTCTTTAATTTTTTAAAATAAAAACTTATAGTTTTGAAATTTTTATTATAAAAAATATTATATAAATATATATTAGTAAAAAATAGTTAAATTTTTAATTACTCTAATAAAATTATCAAACTCTTTCTGATAATTACTTGTTCTAAATTTTCTATCCAAAGAAAAATAAAAATTTTGTTAAAGATAATGTTGCTTTGTATTCTGACAAGGTGGTTTTTGTAGAGGTTAACTGCTTTTTTATTCTTTCAACTTCTTTATATATTTAGCATATAAGCCAAAAGCATTTTGGTACAAAATAACTGGTAGGAGGTGCCCTTGTATAAAAAATTTTGGTAGAAATGATGTCTTGGAGAGGAGGGTTTCTATCAACAAAGTCTCTTAAAAGTCAAACAGAAAAGACAAAAAAAACAACAAATATCTTTATTTTTCAACACACTTCTTACAAGTTTTGCAAGTAGTTGCTCTTTATCTTTAAAATTATCTACCATAACTCTCACCATTCTCAAAATTTTTTTTTGAATAAAAAGTAAGAATTTGGCTTACTCTCTTCAAAAAATTGATATTGTTTATATCCCAAATTCGGAAAGCTGAGTAAATTATAACCACATATTCAATGAATACAGTGCTACTGATTTGGACAGGTCCCAGGTTCTAATGATAGCAGCAGGTGGCTTGAGATACAGGTCTATGAATAGTGGCAGCACCTAGCTAGGACCCCAAACATCTCTTATATAGGTTATACTATCACTTTAGCAAAAAGTTAAAAATTTAGTCTAAAGTCCAATTTTTAGTTTTAGCAAATTAATAATAATTTTAATAAAAAGTTATAATTTAGCATTTTGTCAAAATTATATGTTATATTTTATTTTTAGCAAATTATCTGCATTTTGGAAAAATTATACTCAAAAATAAGCTATCTCATTTTTTAAACCACTATGATTTTTCAAATTCAAAAAAAGATACCTAAATTTAGATTTTTTGATCAAAAATCCAAGATTCAATTAGTAAAATTTTGAGAATCTTAATATTTTATATAATTTTATTAATTGATAATCCAGGAGTTACCTAAAGAAAATGATCAACAATCATTAAGTAACTATGATACATTTTAAATAATAAAAAAACCTAATATGGAAATGTGAAAAATTTTATACATATTATATATATATTACATACCACAGTATCTAGTATGGTATATATATTTTTTATTATTCACTTTATCATTGTATGTATGTACATACAAAATAAAAAACCTTATAATTTAGAACTTATAGCAATTTAGAAACTACTTGTGATTCAAACTACAATTTGAATTTTCAACTCTCAAACTTCAACCACCTGCTAATTTAAAACTATCCTGCTTTATCTACTAGTCTAAAAACCTACCTGCTAATTAACTTAACTGCTTATTTCGAACCTTCCACAGCTTAGAATCTACTACTAGTTTGAAACTCACCCGCTAGTTTGAAATCCACTTGTTATATAAATTCAACAATTAGAAACCCACCTACCTGCTAGTTTAAAAACCCATTCATTAGTTTAGAAACCAACACTATCCACCTGCTAGTTTAGAAACTCAATGACCTGCTAGTTTAAAAATTCACCCACTTAGTAGTTTAGAAACTCAAGTTTTGAAACCTACACCAGTTTAGAACCTATCTATTAATTATATATATATATAATCAGAACATAATTTAAAGAATTTAAAATAAAATAAAAATTTAAATTTTGGATTATAGAAATAAGTACTTGGCAATCGGGATCAAATAATAAAATAAATTAACAAATATTAAATAAAAAAAAAATTAAAAGCGAAAAATTTATAATCACAGGCTTTTATTTATCATTAAAAGTCTGTTGACAAAGTATAAAAAAAGCATTAATAGTACCAGAAATCTGTTGATCCAGTTAGAAAAAATAATCTTGAATTTATAGTTGCTATCTAGATTGTTATAACTATTAATTCAAACTGGTTATATCAGAAATTTTGTTCCAAGTTCCAATTTATACAGTAAGTCTGGGACAAGTTTCACAGCTTTAACCAGTTTTAAATAATAGTTAATACTTTAAAAAATTACAAAGTTCCAAACTAATTAGATTTGAGCAGCAACTATACTTGGATTATGTTATTAAGGATGAAAAGATTGCATTTAAATGAGACTTGAAATCTACTAAAGTAGGTTTCTTATAAGAGAATCCTGCAATAAAAAGAGTAAAAGTAAGTTGGGAATATTAATGATTGATGAAAGCAAAATCTGTATATATTCCCTTTATCTGACTTTGAAACAGATATAAATTTAATAACTAATATCAAATGTTTCATCAACTTTACCTATAGTAGTGGATCTTGGTAATTAATGAATGCTTTGTATTTATTCTTTTCAATTCCATTTTGGCAGCAATATCTAAAGATATATACTCTACCAGGTGGCATGCATTTCACTGACAGCTTAGTTCATTGACAATTACAACTGTTTTTATAAATTTTGTAATACTTAAAAATTTTCTTGTTTTCTAGAATCTTTTTAGTTTTGTCTGATAAATAACTTAAACTACATTGCTATTTTCGAACTTTCAGTTCAAAGACAGTGATGTAGTTTCTGGAGAGTTAGGTAAATTTATC